ACGCCGGGACCTGCCGTGGCGTCCCACGCAGCCGCAGCCTTCAGCTCGCCTCTGAGAGCTGGCCTCAGGCTTGGTGCGGTGGTGGAGGATGCGTGGGGTCACCCCCTGCCCCCACTGGTGACTGCAGACAGGGCCAGAGAAAGTGCCAAAGGCACCCACCCTGCAGGCACTTAGGGGACACCCTGAAAACCGTCACCTCCTTCCAGCTCAGTCCCTTTGTTACATTCCCCACTTGGGCACAGAGGATCACAGCAGCCTCTGTGCCTTCCCCGGTTGGCAATCGTGTGCCAAAACAATGTGTAAATCTACCTAAAAGTAGCTTTTTGGGCCATGTTGCTGCTGAAACCCAACGTGAAGTGAGATGGGGACTACACCATGAGCAGTGGCAACCACCCCATGGGGTGGGAATGTGCCCCCCAGCATATGTGGGGCACGGTTTGCACCCAACGTGCGCAGAGGCACTCACTGAGGCCCCCCAACCGGTACAACCCTCCCTTCCTCCTCCTCCTTCTCCTCCGCCCCCTCACCCTGCAGCCTGCAGAACTGCTGAGCTCAGCACATCCTGGGCAGGGGCCCAGGCAGGACCCTCCCCAATGCCAGCCACCCTGACAGCTCCGGCTTAACCCTTTGCAAAGCCGGCCTGGCAGGAAATCGGAGTCATGGAGCAAATCTCATCGGGGGGTGTGGTGTGTCTGTGTCCCACAAGGCACAGCTGGCCAGGAACAGGCTGTCCAGAAAGTTTTACCCATCCTCCTGAAGCCCCTCTGCTCTCCCCGGAAAGGACGGCAGGTCATCGGGAAGGACATGCAGCTTGGCCACAAAAACCACGCTGTGTTGATGCTAGCAGCAGTTCCTGGGGAGGGGAAGCGCAGGGACTACAAGTACTGTAGTTAAAACTTGGCTTTCTAGCCCCAAACTGTTTCTAGAGGCTCTGGGTTGCAGTCTCTTTTGGGAAGGAAAAGGAGCTGCAAGCCCCGCATTGCCTCCCCTCCCAGCAGAGGTGTGAGCAAGCAGCATCGTGTTAGGATTATTTTATTTCAGAGATCAAAAATTACATTTCACTTCAAAGCCTGCCATCACACCAGAGGCTGCCTGCTTCCCTGCCTACCAGGCAGTGTTATGGCAAAGAAAGAAAAATATTTATGCTCGGCTTCAAAATTCAAGCGTATTTTTAGCCAGGCGCCTTCCCTGTGGTCCTGTACCTCCTTTTTATTTATTTGCCGTTTCCCCCCTGTTTTGACCCCAAAGCCAGCAGTTCCTCATCTATTTTCAGCCTCACCCAGGGAACATTTGTACCAATCACTTGGTGGTTGTGGGGAGAAAAAAGCCACGAGCTGGATTTTGTTAAAAACAGGATCCCAAGCACTATCCAGCCGAGTGTGTGTGTACGTATTTTGCTGTGCTGTGCTGCGAGTGCACAAATATCAGTGTGTATTTTTAACAGCTGGGGTCGGTTCATGTTTTGTCCCAAAAAGCAGAGCAGTAGCCCTGCCTGCCATGGGCGCAAGCCAGGGCTTGTTCCCAGCTCCCCGCACAGCCCCTCCACCCCACTGGGATACTACTCACTCCCCTGGCTTGGGCCTCTGCTCCTGAAACGGCAACAGACCCACCCCCACCCCCCCACTACAGCTGCTGGTGGGGTGTCCAGACCCTCACACCTGCTACCCATTAGCTCCTGGGGGGGAGAACTTGTTCCCTCCCACCACCACAGAGGTCACAGGCAGCAGACATGGTGCTGGCA